TTTTGACTTACTTGAACAGGATTATGTTTCACTTAAATAAAACATAAATTCACCAGCTTTTGAAATAGAATTATTAAATGAACTCAATTCTGAAAATTCTACGAGCTTGTCTGATATATTACAGTTAAAAGATTTATTTTACGATACTGATTTAAATCTCCAAATAATTATAAAATATATTAAGGGTATTCCAACTATTGTACCTTCAAAAAACTAATTAAACCCACTCCATTTTCACTAGGTATTCATTACCAAAATTTTCGAGATTTAAATTCTAAATTAAACTATCTTGAAGCTAAAATTCCTTACTCTAATTTTAATGCATTCACATTTACTGAAACACGGCTTTCTAAAAATATTAGTTCCTCCAAATTGAGTTTTAATAATTATAATGTATATAGATATGACCGTAATATTAATATTAGTAGTCTCTTTAGAGGAGGTGGTGTTCTTAATGCCGTCAAACAATGAATTAGGTATATTCTGAGTTGTTGAATAAATCTTCTTGTTCATTTTTATTAAAACTGTTAAATAACTCTGTAGATTGTCCTTATTTACTGGAACAATTATATTTTCGAATTAATACCAAAACCACTAGAAATCAAGAACGTTTTTAAATTATTAATAATGTCTCTAAAACTTACTTAAAATCATCACCTAAAAATATGCTGATGAATATAGGAAACGTTATGGATATTAATTTTAGTTAATAATTGATTATAACTATAAAATTACATTCCACATATTAATATGTACTTTTTTTAAAAATTAATTGAATATGAATTTTATATTATTCGTACCTAATTTTATCGTATTTATATGTTATTACACAATTATATATATTGTTTTGTAAATGGAGTTTTTCCAACAATAAAGATAATAATAATAAAAAATAACTTATATAATACCTACTACTTCGTTTATTCCTTCTCGCGTTAAAAATGTTAATTTCAGTATGTATTAAAACCACTGGATCTTCCGTTTCAATAATATATAAATCCATTTATACTAACTTTTGAATTACTTATACTATGTTCTTAAAAAAAATATATTAATTTTATGTGAACATCAGTTTTACACATGTAATGGTGATAAGTGAGAACAAGCTTATTGTAAAAATATGAGCAATATTTTAAACAATATAAATAAGAAAGAGACAAGTATGGAAATGTACTAACATATTACCACTGGAAATTATAATTTTTGGTAGTAATATTATTATTATTATACTATTATATAATAACTGGGGTGGGATATTCATGTCCAAAATAACTCTAAAAAAAAATGCATACCTGTATGACTAAAAATATCTAAGTATGGCTTTAAAGCAATCAAATATGATATCATAAAACGCATTTAATTACTTGCATTATTCGTTATTTATTCAAGGTATATAAGATATATTAGATTTACATTTTAATGATAGGTCTAAATGTGTAATGATTTAATAATAAATATTAGATAATTATTAATAACTAGAATAACTAATAAGTAATATTAACATAATTATTTTTTAACAATAATAACATTAAAATTATGGTTTTAATTTTTAATAAAATTAAATAATATGTGTGTGTGTGTGACTAAAAATGTAGGTGTAAAATTTACAATAAATTACCTATACGCACATAGTTTAAAAATTCGTTCAAAAACAAAAAATGCATTTGCACGTCTTTACAGCTAATAAAAATACCTGAAAATGAAAAATATACGCAATACAAAATTTAATACAACTTATATTACGTCATATTACTCATATTAAATCGATTCAAACTTATTATATGTACATAAGTAGAAGAAAGCATATTATGTAAAACTGATAAACATCCTAATTCTAATATTATAATAAAATTACAGCAAACCCGGGAGATCGCCGGTGAAAAACAAATAATATAATAATAATGCGGAATGTGTGATCTGCAGAAAATCGACCGTCGTATTATTTTCAATAGCGGTATATACAGGCAGGGAAAACCGCATAAAAAGTCCAGTTTTTATTTTTATATAATATGTGTGGTTTACGTTAAAATAAAAAAATAAACACGAACGAATGGTAAAATAGATTTAAATTTGTTTTCAACCACTCATAAAAATATTATAATAATGTTTAATATCACATTGTTTCATAACTATACCTAAGATATGCGATTGATTTTTTTTTTTTTTTGATTTATTTCATTTGATAATAATATTTAGCTTCTAATTATCATCATTATATACGTTATTGTCTTACTGTTATATATATATTGATATTATAATATTATACAGTCGTATTGCGACGACCCGGTTGATCGCGTTTGTTCCGTCCAATCACCATGTCGCATATTATAGATAATACAGCCAATCCATGTATTATATTTTAATTATATATTATTATAATATCAAAAAATTGGCAAACAGACTCTTCGCTCTTAGCCCTGTCCATGAAGCCCCTTCCTGTTGCAACTAATGCAGGTCCCTATTTTGTAAATTATGCAAACACTAGCCATCGTAAATTTGTGTTCATACGTTAATATTAAAGAATGAATATTCCATGATTATAAATAATATAAAATAAAATAATAAAAAATAGATATAAATGCGTGTGTCCGAATACTAAATAAGTGAGAAAGATAGGTAATGATTTTTTACTAATCCCTCAAATTCTGACGGAAAGTCTCTTAATAATGTAAAAAAAAATTATTATTATTATTATTTACGTTCACCACTATTTAGTCATCAATATAACTATGTATCTACATTAATATTTTTAATACTAATAGAAGAAAATTAAAATCTTGAAAAGAGTTCTTAAAAACTTGAAAAATCTCGAAAAAACCATCGAAAAATTACCATAAATTAAATTTGTAAAAGCTTACTAAATAAAAATTACATTAAAATAATCAGTATTATCAAAAAGTGATTAAAACACATTTTTACTAATAGAAATATGTTTTAAATCACTAGAAACAAAAATTACATTGTATCAAAATCTTACTCCTAGTTATAGGTAATTCAATTAATTTAAAAAAAAAAATGTATGTCGAAATAAATTTATTTTACTTAGGTCTTAGATCCTGGGTATTTTTATAAAATAATGTATAATATATAAAAAATAAGAACAATTCATAATAATCATGATACTTGTATTTATTAATTTTCTAAATTTTCTAAATTATAGTTAAACAATTAATGATTGATTTTTATACTTTTATATAATATTGTGCTTATATTTAAATAAATGACACCCTGAGAGTATTCAATTCGAATCCGTCGCTATTATGCGGGTGTGTTTCGCGCTATTTATCACGGTTGCATTATTGAAACCGAATAATAACAATATATAATTTATTTTCGTATTATATTCATTATTATTATTATTGACCCACGATGATTACATTATAGCTCGATTGTTACAAAAGCCCTTGCTGTCCTACAGTCCACCATATTTTTCAGACTTTTGTATCTACCGTTAGTAAATTTAGGACCTGTACTTCAACTACCTTTTAGTACTCTGCAAACCGTTTTAATACTTATATCGTACATATAAATACGCATGGCCAGCTTTCATTTAAGTCTCCCCGAGTAATTTAAGAAATATGTTCCTGAATGTTCGTGCGCTTTTCTTCGTTTATATATAAAAAAAAACCAAGGAAACTCATACCATTATACGACTACCCATAATATGGGGCAAAGTGGAAGTTCAGTGTATAAATTAAAATTTTTATTCAAATTTCATTTACAGTGTCTATGGACGTAAAGCAAAATTTAAAAAAATGTGAATTGTAATTACAGTGCTTATATTATACTATTATGTTTCAATCGAAGCAAAACGGAAAACGATAAAGAGAGAAATGAATTTTAACCCTGGTGAAGTCATTTAATAGAGCTAATACGTATATAAATAAGTATATACCTATCCATTATGTGGTTCGAATGATTAAGTGGTGATTTTAAATAAACGACAAGACGTACTTGCATACAACTAGTAACTACACTGCAGTTTTTCTGTTTTAGGCACGAGATATGATTTATTCTACAAGTACCATAAGCTCTTGCACTTAATGAATAAAAACAAAAAAATGCATATATTTTATATCGAAGACAATATCATAATATGTGTTTCGTAAAAAGTTATTTCCCTAATGACGCAACCCTTAAATCCTGACTTCAATGTACATATTATACATACGACGTGTACATTATAACAGTATTATCGTTACAATACACGTATTTTTTGTATGATAATAATTAATATATACCACGCGTATCATATCATAATATTATAGTATTATATTGTGTATACTTGTACAGTGAAAGTGTTTACGAAAACCGTATACGCGTGTTGTGCACACACACACACACACGATAGACAGAGGTACACTCGCATCGTTCCTGCTATAATAATAATAACAGCCGGTCTGGTGTGTGTCGTAACAGGCGGCGGCGGCGGCGGCGATGAGTATAATAATAATAATATTATTATACGCGAGCTGAGTCGTAGCAGCGTAAAGTAATAGGTAAGTAATATACTCGCACGGCGGATAGTATGGTTGTCGGACGAGTGAGGGGGGGCGGAGGGGGTTCGGTTTTTCAATGCCGGTCCTCGGTTGACCTTGCAAAAGAAAGTTTATAACAAATGAAAGTGGTTTTCACTTGTGTGTGCGAGTGCGCGCGCGTTCTCTTCTTCTTCTTCTTTTCTCGTATTCCTCTTCTTATTCTTCTCCTTCTCCTTCGTCCTCTCCTCGTCGCCGTTCCTTTTGTGTTCTGGGCGCGTGGACTACGACACAGTCCTATACTGTTACCGGTGTAATATGGGCACGGCGGTGGTATTTTTTTCCCCTTTTCCTTTATTATTATTATTATTATTTTCTGTTTGTCACCGCCCCGCCGTCGACACTGTGATCCGGCGGCGGTGGCGGCGGTGTAGGCGAAGGCGGTGGTGGTGATGGTGGTGGTGGTGGGAGTTTCGTCCGGACGACGACGCGACGGTCCGCGGCCAACAGCAGCGCCAAGTCCGATTTCGAACGCATCAGTCCGATCTGTCCGCTCGCGCCGTCATGCCGGCCCGAGAACACAGCACTGGTTCTACGTCGTCTTCCGGTCCGCAACCATCTTCTGTAGCAGTTCGCGAATAACGCTCTATACGACGTAAAACCCTAAATTCTCCGACCAAATCATTACTGTAATTAGTGTCCGAGGAATCACGTGGTTCTCTTCAAACAAAAGTTACATTTTTTTTTTCTTTCCACTGAACTCAAAAAAAAAAAAGATATAATCATATTTTTTTTCAAATTAATTTATACGTAACCAAAAACATAATACCGTATAGGGATTATATTTAATTTTCACATCATTAATAAATGGCTGGAGAGTTTTCACTTTGACACCGGTCATTCGTAAGATTCGCACTATGTTCGCCATGTCACCGAGATGCAACCGTCTAAGGTAACTATTATAATAAATTGGACGACGCTACCGACATATCGAGAGACCGACCTTACCTCTGACTTGTAATAAATAAGTGATCTCAAAAAACAATAGAATAACTTTTAGCATGAATAAAATATTATTATTGTACTCTGAAATTTTCCTTTTAAAATTTAAACAAAAACATCGATTCTCGGCGTGTGTAATACGCTATTTTGATGAGCAATATCATTATTGGTAGAAATTGGTAGATGATGTGCAGAACATTTTGTACGAAACAATTCAAGTAGAATATTCTAAATTTTATGGCGTTCTGTATATAATATAAAAAATAAATATTAAACGAAATTCTACGCGATCGTCTGTATAGACTCTATAAACGATATATCTCGTGTGTGTACGCTGTGCAGAGTTGGTATTATAAAATCAATTTAAATATAATGTATCTAATGAGCAATAACATTAGTCATACAAATTCGTCTGTGTCTGACACAAGTGACTGTGTGTGTATCGTATCTACATGTAGATTTTTGTAATATCATACTCGTAAGATGTTACGTAAACAACTTGTGTCATCGTTTCGCGAGTATTTTGATTTATACACAAGATATCGATTAAATCTTGACATCACTATGTGCACAATGCATATGTACCACCTTCGACGCAATTTTTTTTTATATTTTATATAATTACATGACAATTTATTTCCCAGATCGATTCCTTAAAAAAAAAATTACTACGAATTCCGTAGTTGTACGATTGTTTTGTTTTGATAGTAAGAAAATAAAATATAATCACATACAAATCTGTAAATAAATAAAACATTGTTGTTCCGATCGAAAGTCTTCTATCATAATAAATGTGTGGCCAACGCCGGAAGAACGGCAACATACGAGTACAAGACGTAAAGATCAATAGAAACACGAGTCTATAATAATATGTATTAAGAGAACACCTCTGGACGTAAATCGTTTCGCACTGATAAAAACTAATCTGGCTGTGTAATCATAGTTGAAAAACAAAACTATATAATATATACGACACGGAAGATATGTGCTACATCGTTTTTTTATTCGAGTTGTAAAAATTAAAAATAACGGATTTCATGTAAAAAAAAAAATCTTAACTTAAAATATTTAATGACACAACAAAATACGCGTTTCCTATTAAATTTCCGGTTTTTTTTTTTCTACGCTAAATTTAATATGGATCGATCGTTAAATCCGTTCGTTTTCACAGGTGTCTGTTAGTGTTTTTGCCCGCCTTGGCAGTGATGATGCTGTTGGCCGACCGATGTCTCGGATCTGACAACAACAACAACAACAACAACGACGACGTCAACAACAACAACGGCACGGCAACGTCGACCGTCATGTCTGCTTCCGAGCTGTCGTCGGCGTCGTGGGCCGCTGCGGCCACTGACGATTACTCGACGCAATCTCCACTGACGAACGGCGGCAACGACACGGCCTCCGGCGGACAGACGGTGGTCGGAAAGCCCAGCAAGTTCGACGAACACGTGGAGGACTGGCAATACGTGGACGACCCGCTGAAGAACGTGACGACTACCACCGCCGTCGCACCGGCACCGATTTCCGGTAACTCGACGGCCGCGTGCAAGATGTGCTCGACGGACAAGGCCAAGACCCGGCGGAACAAGCGCAACCACGACGTCCGGTTGCTCAAGATGGCCGTCATGTCGTCGCGACACCGAGACCTGTACGCCCAGTTGTTGGCTTCGGTGGCGGCCAAACAGTCGTACCGACGCAAGCGGTTCCGCCGCGCGCTGGCCACGTCGCCGGCCGAGTCGTCCACGTACAAGCAACTGTTCCGGTACAAGCGGTACCGACGGTCGGTCGAGGACGCGGTGGACGACGCGGCGGCCGCAGACGCTGCGAACACGGCGGCCGAAGACACCGCCGCCGCCGTGGACTACTCGGTGGCGCGTTCGTCGGCGTCCAAACAGCTGTACCGGCGCAAGCGGTTCCGGCGTTCCGCGGTGGCCGCGTACCCGAACGGCATGATCCGGCCGTACCACTATACCGGCAACAACCACTACCGGTACCAGCAGCCGCAGCACGGGCCGTCGCTGGCCGCCGACCTGCAGCTGCAGCAAAACCGCCGGCGGCGTTACCGGTACGCCGCGGACCCGTACCACCACAAGCGGAACGGCGCGGCGGCCACAGCCTGGGACCGTTCCGCCGAGTTCCGGCGCCGGTACCTCCGGTTCCCGCCCACGCACGAGGCGCCGCCGCCCGCGTACAACAACATCTTGAACGGCAACCCGTGGTCGCCGGCCGCCGTGCTGCCCGGCCACCAGCTGTCGCCGCAGCAACAACAGCAGCCGTTCAGCTACCTGCCGCAGTACCCGATCCAACCGCAGCAGCCGCCGCCGGCCATGGGGCCTAGGAGTCCCCGACTCGTGTTCCGGGACCCCGTGGACCAGGGAACGCTGCAGGCGCCGTTCGGTGGTGGACCCAACGGACTCCAAGACCTTTTGGTTTCGCAGCCCGACGACGTCAAAGGTCAGTGTCAGCTCAGCGCGCTTATCGACGGGCGGTCCGGGGCAGGGCTTACTTGTAGGGAGCGCGGGAGGGGAGGGTCGCGGGTGATGTACGTGTCCTGCTATTGTCTTAATATACTATGCTACGATATACCTAGTATACAATATAATTTTAGCGATCGCCAAGTCCAGACGAAATTAAGGATAATATCGCGTATTTGTTATACAATATATTATAAAGTGACGCAAACAATAATAACAATAATAATAATAATAATAATGTTACGAGTAATAACTGTTATAGCGCCTAAGGGGGAGGTTAAAACGTGTTTACTTGCACGAATCGTAAGTATAACTCGGTAGTATTACCCGGAGAGAAACGATTATTATTATAATATTCCCGTGGGTAAGCACACAACAACACAATGATAATAATAATAAGAAAGCAGCGCGGCTGGTCGAGCGGTTTCGCGCGCGCTTTGCTTACCGGTTTGTCCCGTTAACGGCGCGCCGTTTCGTGTATCGTACCTATAAAATACAAAACGTCGAGCGGGTTTTTTTGCGCCGACTGTCACACACACACACGTCCGGTCCGGTCCGGTCCCAATCGCGTTACGCAACACGATGCGAATAACAATAAAATACTCTCGTCCGATACGGCCGTCGTGTATGCGGGTATCCGCAGCAACAGCAACAGCATCAGCAGTGAGAGTGTCTATCCTACGTAACACATTTGCGGACGTCCGTCGTCTGCATACCGCGGTATAGAAGCGCCGCCGGCGTGTTAACGCGTCGTTCACGTAATCTTCCGACCGGACGCGTTACGCGCGTATATCCGATTTTTACAATGACGCGGTGGCGACGACTTGTTAAAGTCAAAGTTAAGATCGTGACAGCCGTTAAAACACGCGTATAATAATATATTATAATATATATTGTATAACTATAGAAGGTGTTGGCAAAACGATAAATAAACAGTCGACAGCAAATCAACACGCGGCGTTCGATTTCCCACCGGCGGACCGTCATCGTACGCTTTCGCTTTTTCCCGTAAACCGACCCGCCGCCGATACACGCAGGCACATTATAATATTGTAGGTAAAGGTACACGATCATCGATTTCCGGACACGATTTCCTCCACGCGAGATCGTCGCGCGTCGTCTATATGCTGCTCCACCGACGGCGGATCGTAAGTTATTGTACACGACAATGAACGTACACAGTAATAATATTATAATGTTTAATACGTCGGATTTTATACGTCTGTCACGACTACCGACCATCGCCGACGTCCCGACCGCGGATATACTAAAATATTTTTCCTTTGGACCGCGGTCCGGGACGTCGTCCGTGTACATAGAAATGAAAATAAAAATAATCTACAGTCACACAACCGTCTTTTAAATATATTATATTTTCACCATCAATTTAAGTATAAAATAAAGTATGCTTCATATGATTCTATAATATAGGTATTACCCCGTACCCGCTTATACATTATAGTTAAATCGTCTGCGAGACAAACACCAGAAATTATTGAGCTATTACTGGTACTGCTGCTGCGACGACGGTCGGGATTTTTGACCCCAAAACCAGCCACGGTGCTTTGACCGCGTATAAGAGTGTTTCACCTCGAAATTCTCGATCCTTAATCCATTGTGGTGTCAAGGATAGTCACCCCTTTTACCCCCGCACGACTATATGAAATTAATATAATGTATTCAAAACCTCTTGGGACCTCGTCGCTGTTGCTCCTGATGCCCGATGAACGCTTACGGATAAGGGTTCTTATACCTAGATTGTATTACCTTCGACGATTCTACGCCGTACACATATTATTGTGCAGTTAGAGCCAGGTGCGTGTTTGCATGTACAGAGTGATTCGTTAAGTACGCTCCCACAGTCCCACCCATTATTTTACTCTCTAGTTATTTGAATTCATTAAAATTTTTTTTTGGAATATTTTTAAGTACACCTAACTAAATACCATATTTTTTCGTAGGCACTTGGATTTGTATGCGTTATTTAAAGATTCGTGTTAACCCCTGGAGATTATTTCAAATAAAATCGATCTTTAGTTGAAGCTCATAAATTATTAAGGTATAGATAACTTTTAAAAATTTTCATATACCAATCTAAATCTAAATTTTAATAAATAGTTTCTGAGTTAATTATAACAATTCATACTTTAATCTATAAAAATATTTTTATTTCTAAACACTATTTGAATATGATAAATATCAAACCCAAAATTACATCTACATTACACAACCTAACCATTTTTAAAAACTATTATCCTTAGTGTATTACATTTAAATAACTTCTGTTGATATTTCAATTTTAAAAATCGTAAAAGGCCAATTATCATTCGAAAAAAACTGTATTGCCTCACGGTATTAAAATCTAAACGGTTAGAAATACAGTCCTTAAGTATATACTCACTTAAAAAATCCAAAAAAACCTAAATGAAAACTATGTTGAATATGTTCGGCGAATCACTCTGTACATATTATTATAATGGGGTGTATGGGACAATATTATAATTGTTATACCGTCGTCTGGGTTTGTGTTATATTGTTGTACGGCATAATATAACAATAAGGCGTGACGACAAAAACTATAGCCCCGGACAAACGTAATATTATTATTTATTATTATTATTATTATTGTTATCGTGGCGTGCATCCTCACCAAATATTATATTATTTCATGCGTATTATAATGGGATACGGCACACATCTCTCGTGCTTAAATCTTCACCGAGACAGGTGTTAAAGATGTGTGTACAATTAGATAGCGATAACACGCCGTTCGAATATAAACATCATGGGAACATAATATACGTCTAACGCTAGAGCGCCAAGACCGACAGATTAAAATATATTGCTCATCAGGAGCTTACATAATAAATAATAATATACAAATAACTGTGTAGAGTTGTACTTGTGCCCGTGTGGGTTAGGCATGTAATCGGTGTTCCTCATAATTTTCTACATATTATAATATGTCATTAACAGTGAGTACCTGTAGGTAATGAGTTTGGAGCATTAAATCCGGTATTTTTGTGCATGATTAATTTAGAAATCAACTAATAAAATCGTATCACGTGGGACAATTAATAGGCTGTGGGAAAAAAACGAGTGAATCGGGTCTGGTCGATCACCTTCAGCTGATCATTCCCGAGACTCTGATACAATGTTTATAAATATTGTATTACGAGTATTTGTTTGTAGTTAAAAGCACAACGAACCCGCGTATTATCTACGTCTTATAAGTCACAGGCATTTATAGTAAATCTATGCTCGATAGAATCGAATTTTATGTTGTCGGCTTTAATATTCGAGTGAATTGACTTAATTTCAAATTTAAAGGTTACAATAATATCTTGCACAACCACAAGCTTTTTGTTGATACCTATATTTTAACGCAAGTTATAAATATTTTTAAATCATACTAAATTTTACATAGTTATCGATTATAACATCCGTTTAAAGTCAAAGTATCAATAAAATCCTATGAGAGGCGCTAGATAATATTATCATCTTAAAAAAAAAAACTTACCCCTGCATATGTTGTCTCCATCTTACAAACATGCAACATTGCAAATTATAGTTTAGCAAAACCAATTGTGTGTTGTTATGTTATTTTAATATTAGAATAATCAGAATTAATTGACTTTTTATTAAAGTTAAAATTAAAAACATTATCTGCTTATTTAAACGTTAGTTTTTTTTTAAAATTTAAGCTATGGATAAGAGTATATTTACTTGTAATATTTATAATACTCATATCTTATTTGAAAATTAATATATCAAACCAATGCTTAACTACAAATAATGTTTTTACCTTTTACTTTGATAATAGGTCAATTCACTCTAATACTAAAACTAGCAACATACAATTGGTTCTACTGAACGTAATTTGTTATGTCGCGTCGTTTATTTGTAAGACGGTGACGATATAATATGTGGAGCAGCGTTCACTTAAGTTTGACAATAAGTTAATTCAGTCTAATATTATGATAACAACACAAAATTGATTGTGCTGAAAGGACATTACCCAAGCTAATAGCTATACATTTGCAAGATAGAGACAAAAAAATGGGCCTCATAATTTTTTAAATTTTAGACCTTAATGATCTGTAAATTTATCCAACTTTTATCATTTATAGTATATACCTAATATTATTTTATGTACGTTTATTGACAACTTACTTTTTTATAGTTTTCTCACGTCTATAAATTATTGGTATTGAGTGATCAACACTTATCACTATAATATAATGGGAGGTTCTATGCAGATTAATAATATTTTAATTAATTAATTAATTGTTAATTATTGGTGTAATATTTAAATTAAAATATATTATGTTATACTTGCACGATTAACACATTATAGCTTCCAAATATGTGTATGAGTAGATATGTTATACCATGGAGGATTCCTTGATACTAAACACACAAATAAAATAATTAACATATTATTGTACCTACCTATACCAAAAGCGTAATGACATCGCAATAATATTTACTATTGTATTTTTAACACAAACGCAATAAAATAAGACCTATTAATGATAATAGTTTGGAAGGACACGGACTCAGTATAAAACGACTTATTTTTACCGACAACCCCGTGAAACGACGACCCCGATAAACACAATAAAGTATTAAATCAAACTAGTAACATTAATATGAAAATAATAGTAAAACAATTACGACTTGACTAAAATATTATGATATCATACGATTACATCCGACCTATATTGTCCACGAGCATATTTTCGACCTCAGATCCCGTTCCAAATGTAAAAAATGATCAGGTGAAGACGGTGGATGATGTTCACAGATGAATGGACCGACTTGGAAGTAGACAGCAAGCGCAATAGTTTGTGCAATACAGGAAGCTGTGAATTTTTGTTAACTTGCTGGATGGCATCCGGTTACATTGAGAGCACCTGTGGTGGCTTCCTGTACGTTTGTTGCGACCGAAATTCCGCCAAAACGAACGAAAATATTGCTATCAATACTAACAGAGCGTCGGTGCCGGTCGACTATGGCCCAGTGACTAACGACCCCAGTAAGTCACCGCCGGTCCGCGGTTTTATTGCCTATACACCTTGTACATCACTTTACTTTATACTGTTTTATTATTTTCATTCTTCATTTCTTGTCTAACGATAACGCTACAAACTGTATAATAACTATAATACGTATATCATTACTATATTATATGATTACGACCTGCTTCTGTACAAACTTCACAAACCGTCGCTCGAAGACAAGACATGTACAACATAATACACAAAATTATTTTTTTTTAACGTATGACACACATTACTTCGAAAACTATTAAAAATTTAAAAAATACTTTATTCAAAACGCTTTTGAGTCATAATAAATTTTTTTTTTAAATCATAATTTTTTATTTTATAAATTATAACATACATTTTTATTTTATATTTCTAAGCAGAATTTTTTTCAGAGTATATTTCGATGCATAAAATTCGAATAACAAAGAGTGCTTTATTGTTACATACATCAGTATATTTAAAGGTTAGACGAGCGGATCAGTGAACCATCATTTTTCAGGGTACCCATGTGCCACTCTACTCTACTCATCTGAACTTTAAATATTTATAAATTATAACTAGGTAGTAGGTACTCATTTAAAATTCGAGTTTTATAAATCAAAATATTTAGAAACATATTCTGAATCTGATTTTTAAGTTAAAAATGTATGATGCTATCCAAACATGTAAAAATTATGATGATGAATAACGGTAAAATATCAAAATATGTTTGAAAAATCATATTTTTAACGTTAAAAAATTATTTAAAAAATAAAAATATTTAAAAAAATTTAATAGTTTTTGAAATGATGATGAAAAATACTTTTATGAGCAATACACTCAGACTTGATGTCTCTAAAAAACATCCTAACACTTAAAAAAATATTCATAACATTTGCCATACGTTCAAACACTACCAGTTACATTAAAACTAAACATTTTAACATTTTTTTAACCTTAAATACGCTTTGTACTTATATCAAAACAAATATATCACATTTTATTCTTTTGGTAGATAATACCATCCTTGATAAATCGGTAACGCAGTAACACAATACAAAATTATAATACATTAGTTACAAACCTAAAGTCGAAGATAAACAATATTGGCGTATTTTTTGATAAGGGTCACCTATATTAGAAATTAGCATTTTTAAACATAATATCAAATGCCGTACTTTTAATAATGATATTTCTGGAAATCAAAATATTTTAACGGTGCCTACTTTAGAAGTATCAACTTAATATTGGTTTTGCGAGGTATGGTTTTTGCCGTCTGATTATTAAGATCAAAATTTAATAATCAATATTATGTTATAAATATAAATAACAAAATAATACAATATGTTGATCATCATTTTAAAATGATTCCGATCTTACGTAATACATTTAAAACAATACGATTGTATAAATGATACAAATTAGTTTTTGCATCAATTTTAAAACAACTGATGAAATTTCAAATTTTTTTTTTTTAATTTTTGTTTAAGAAATTTATATTATTACTTTGTTTTCTTAGTTTTATAAAGCTTACAATTCTAAATTAGCGGAATCAATAGGTACGTTTTCTGTTAATAAAAATGTATGTCCATGAAATAGAAATTTTAAATGAAGTAAATTTAAAAAATAATTGAAGTCCGACATATTATATTATTGTAATGCTAATGCCCTTGATGTGGAAGCGAAAAATCAATAATAAAAAAAAAAAAAAAGAAAAAAAGTAAAATATTGTCTTGCGGAATCGATAAAATCCCCGATCTGTGCGGCGTTACGAAATTATTACCTATTGTTATCATATTACAGTTCGAATTTCTGTTCGGCCGACTGTCATAGTTGCGTCTATGGTCTGTCCGAGATTGTGACAAAAATCAAAACCGGTGAAATCGTATGCGGTTTTCACGACGTTTCGTCTGTAATATAATAATGTGTATAATATTATGATATATAATGTCGACGGCTCGCGAATTTCGCGGGGAAATCGTCACCGCGGTCACCGCGTCGATAATCGGTATAACATACTCAACTTGTACATAATAATATTATAGTGTTGTTGTACTATTATGCTATTATTATTATTATATCGGCAGAGAATTTCCGGATTCGACGTTATGGGTATACTGTCATACCATATCATTACATGGACGCGACCGATGTGTATATTATTATTAATATTATCATATTTTGACGCGCGTACACGCGGTTTATTCACTGACGAGACAAGCAAGTCAAAACGGTTTGATTAAATTAAAAAGAAAAAAACGGTATTAGTAACAATAATATTTTAGCCAACGCAATAATAACTTAATGACGTGATATTATGCGCCGGACCGTCGGTGGCGGTGAAACCGTTAGAGGGGTAAGTGGCGGGGATGATTTTTTCTCCGAGGATCGATCATAATATTGTTATATAATAATATTATATTATAACGTACAATACGACTTTCTAAGTAGTAGTCGTGATCATTATTATAATGGTAAATTATTAATACAAATGCATGCGGCCGTTTAACGTCGATATCGCATTCACGCCGTGTCGTCAATGTCAACCGGCGTAATATCATAATATAATAATAATATAACGTAGGTACGCCTATATAATAATATAATGATAATAATAAATAAAAAAATAACGCCATTTATGTTATTATTACGACAATGAACCTATAAATATTAATATATTTGTTCGTTGCACGGACCGACATAGTTGTTGCCTGTTGGCCGGTTTCAAGTATAATAATGTACATTACACGCGTATTCGCGCCGTGTATTATGGACGGCGAGTGCGTTAAATAATAAATAATAATATTATGAATTATGATATAACATTGATAACAGTATAATAATCGACTCGAAGACGGTTCGATATGTTCGTGCGATTTTCAACCGCGGTATACATACAGCTATTGGCGCCGTCGAGTGGTTGTCATCGACTATATTTCGCTTTTTGATCTGCGCGGTATTAGTTGTGTTCTTGACGAAAAACTCGTGTACCTATGCCAAGGGTGCACGATTAAATTTTCTGCGCACACGCTTTCTTGATCGCCAGCCGTATGCTTGCGGAGACTTCTTCACCATTCGTATTGTTAGAGCTGTTACAAGCTTGAATTATATATTTATTAGGTGCTAAAGAATTAAATTTTGAAACTTTTATCTTGAATTTTTTGATTTTTTTAGATCTCGTTAGTAACATTTTTTTATTTTTTTATTCAAATCGATGGATTTATAGATTTTTTTAAAATTTCTCTAGACTTTAATTTCATACACAGTTTTTGAAATTTGTTTTGTTAAGTTTTTTAGTACATTCAAATTTTAATTAACAGCTCTAATAAGAATATTACAGCTGATTCCGTTTGATGCGATCATTGATTATTAACGAAGTTAACCGTCTTATTGAAATCAAAAAAAAATAAATAAATAAATAAATAAATGTCCGAAAATCTAACCAAATTTCATATTTTTAATCCAGTAAACCTTTTATTGGAATCACTGAGTACCGGATAATTAAATTATTTCTATAAAAATTAAAAATATTTATAGTCTTTCAACAATCAAAAGCTAATATAAGTAGTATTCAATAGTGTAAACGTTACCTAAACAATTTTTTAAACTTATTTGTGAACCTACTTCTTGTCTTGAAATAATAATTATTCTCATATTTCACTTTATACATGTCAGGTAAACGAAATGATTAATCAATAATAATAATAATAAAAACAAGCCTTATTCGTTTTATTAGAATATTTTCAAAGTAAAGCTTAGGATTAATTTTTGTAAATTTCCAGCCTGTTTATTATATACATATACATTATTATCTTGTATAAATTATCATAAAAAATTAAAAATCATTCTGAAAAATTGATAAATATCAAAAACAAAATTTTAATTTTTCTTGAAACCAAATAGGAAAAATTTCGAAGTAGAAAAACAACTGTTACGATGTTTTTAACAAGCTAGAAATTTATTCGACAGTAATTTTACCTTATAGAGAAAGCTTTAAATTTAGCTTTGCAATATTACGTTAGGTATTGAAAATTTTAGTACAACGTTTATGGGTGATGAATGCTTTCTTCTAAACTATATTTTGTTTTTATTTTATTTGAAGTGAGTATATTGATAAAAGATAATTAAAAAAAAAAAAAATCTTTTATGGAATCGACCGATTAATATAATCAAAATTAACTCCACCGACAACGTGATCGCATTAAGCGGAACTCTGCGCTCTATTATTATTTATATTATTGTGTAGAAAGCGAATTTTTTTTTCTTTCGTTCCGAACAACGATAGTTTTTGTGCGAAGGACGCGTGCGACGCCGTGGCCTTTCGCATCACGGCAATAATGTGATAATATAATATATTATATTATAATATCGACAGCGTTTCATAGTTGTTATTATTACCATAATCGATCTCCAAGTATTATAATATATCAGATCCGGCCGAACCCCTCATGACAATGACATAATTTGGTTCATATTTTTAGAGTTATTCACTTATATATGATATAATGACATATTATTCAATCTCTCCATTTTTTTTTCACTCAAATCTCGCAATACACATGTAACGGGACAAGGTGATTGTTAAATTAATGTTTTTTTAACTTTTCTTAATGTATAAGACTAGAAGCTACATACTTATAGTAAATAAAAATATTTTGGTGTTGAAGTGCTACTACACTATTATAGTACATCAATATTATTCCACTGGCTCATGAAGTATTGTGCCGTGACTATTTATTTTCTATGCCAAATTCCCGAAAACAGAAGACAATATTTCCCAGCACATAATATTTATATAGGCACTTAAGAGTATAAGTACTGCCTGTTAATTAAAGTGTGAAAGTTTCGGAAATTATTAGTTAGGTATTATGATGGAAAATAAAATCAAACCGTTTCGGCGATCAAAATTCAAAAAAACGACAAGCGACGATAAAAATTTAATTTTATGACATTTTCATTATAATATTTAATCGTTATAAAATCTTAAAATACGGCAATCAAAAATTAATTAAAATGTTAGTTTAAATAGTTTAATGGTTTTAGATTTTTGTACATTATAATATAAAATAAATGTATATTTTTTTTGTTTTTGAAAAACCTTATTCAATATTATAATGTTGACATGTTTTTTTTGTCAATCAGCATATGCGCACCAAATTATCCAAGTATTCTGATTCGCGGAGTTTTCAAAAACTTGAATTACTGAGGTTTACTGAAATACCCTACTTTCAAATATTTAGATTTTTTTTAACCTTTCAAAATATTTCTGTGAAGATATAAAACTTTTACTAATTTATTATAATTAGGTAGTCTTTCTAAATCACACAATTTTAGCAAACTAATGATAGTCAATATAATTTTAAATGAAGGTTTTCGTTACTAAAATAAAAATGGGGTGTTCGTACTTAGTGATTCACATTGTATTTGTATAATATTACATCACTAATTGCATTTCGTTTTTCCGCACGAAAGAAAAAAGTTCGATCGATGTTTCCTTCCGCCGATAATATATTAGTTATCACTTCACGTTTTATTTTTGCTTTTACATTTTACGGAATGAATAATAATAATATGGATAATGATATTATTAATGCATCATAATAATAGTAATAAAACTAATTTAAAGACTCGGACACGCTTATAGATATTACTATGTATATTGCTGCTCGCACGCGACACTTTCAAATCGAACAGACATCAAAAATAATGTTGTTGGAAATGATGTTTGTAGATTTCCAGTCATATAATATAATATACCGGTGGATATATACACGTAACGCCTTTCTGGTTGTAATCGCTCGGTCTTATATTATTTGATTAAGAAAAAAGTAAAAATTTCTCGAAACAACTTTCGACAATGACAAATATTGTGAGCGAATATCATTATTTATTAGTGTTACGCGTGATTTTCTAATTAAATATGTATATACGTAATACATAATAGTTATTAGTATTATTATCGTGCAATCTTTGATTGGAAGTACGCCAACAAATTATTGTTATCTTCGACTAGACCCTAAAATATAATTAATAATATATTATTATATTACGTTATATCATTTAGACGGGTAACCGTATATTATGATTTAAACACGAACTTACAGTATACATTTTACTTGTACGAAAATATGCACCATAGTGAGAGTGAAAATACCAAAACTATACATAACGTTATGACTTATAAAATATATATCATACCAAATATTTTTACAATCGTACATATATCAAATGAACATTTTACCCAATAAAAACTATAGTTGTAGTATAACCATATTAATATAGTAAAGTTATCATTATCTTAACCATTAACACTAATGTCTACTTCAGCTCATCTATTTAACTCATCTTATAATAACATTTTAATAATATAACATAGCGTATTAAAATATTTTGTTTTCGTCGCGGTAGGCCATCAAAACGCGTAGGTAGGTATATTGTAATGATAATAATAACAATTACATTATTTGCAACGAGTCTAATAACATACAAAATAAATATAATATAATATGGGTATTAATTGGTTGGCTATAATGTTTGTAAAAATTAATAACGACTGGGCGTATCACACAGAATATTGGAATAATGTATCAACGATATTTTTGGATGTTCGCACACTATATTACACGAAAACTACTGGAATATTAATCGTGGTTGTAAAAATGAGTTTTTATTTGATAATGATGATATAAAACGATAATATTATATATATATAAATATATATATATATTTATAGATATATACCTATTTAACATAATGAGTAATATTCATGCTGTATGAAATAATAAAAATCATGCCCTTTTGACCGGGTCCGATGATATACGTAATATTATAAATACGTTTTGGGCTATGAAATAAAAAACCAAAATACAGGGTCAATTTTGTAGCCTCAAACCGATATTGAGAATATTATATAGTATTTACAATATTAAATATACATAGTATATAATATTTTATGTTTGTATGATAATACAAGTATTTAGAAAGTGGTTTTGGTGCACTACACGATCGTCATAATATTATATAGACGAATATATCATTGTAAATACTACAATTTGACTCTATCGTTATATTATACAAAAATGTATAGGTAAACATATATAATATAGAATAATAATGTTTACCTATACCAGACTCATTATTCATAATATTATCCACATGTTAAATTTAATCAAGACGGGGCATTTCCGATTTAATAATTTGATGTCGAATCAATTTAACTTTTTAACGTAACGAGTTACTCATATTTTTTTCTTTTTAATTATTTACAAATCCTGATTAATACTTATTATAACTTTAACACATTTTTGTCACTTCTGTTAATCATTCCGTAGTAGTCGAAATCCCGAGAAAAACAAAACAATTTAACTATCGAATCAATAAGTTAATTTCTTATTGAATTTCGCAATTCATATTGCAAAGTTCAAAGAGACATTAATTTTTACTTGCCCAGTCTTGCTTATATAATAAATAACACACATTTATCTATAAAATGTGACAAAAACAAAATATTCATATCAGACTAATCATGTATAAAAGGTGATTAATTAAGAGTGTAAATTCATTATTTCGGAAAAAAAATTTTTAAATATTTTTTTGTTTTGAATTACAACATTCATTTTTGTTTTTATATTCCGAAACAGAATATTTTTTGTAATATTTATATTTCAATAAATTGAATTTTGTACAAATATTTAATTAGTAATCAAGTATTTAAAGTTTAAATGAGTAAAGTAGCATAGAGGTACTCCACAAAAATTGGTCCACTATACACCGTTCATTTGAGCTTTAAATAACTAATTATTAACTATACCGTTCGTAATTTTATTTATATGAGTCAAAATACTTTGAAATACTTTCTATTTACTAATATTAAATTAACTATTTAAGTTAACAATTTAGCAGAGCGAAAATTTTACAAAAAATAAATCGTATCATATTGTTTTTTTAATTATATTGTTTTGACATGAAATAATCTAAGTACAAATAAATGTATATAAATGTACAAATATTTTCAAAAAATTTAAAACTTTTCGAAATAATGAATGTAGACGCTTAAATATAAATATATATATATAAAAACTTGGTGGATGGTATTTAAAATAAACGAGCATTTTATTTGATCAAAATGTATGAATATTATCTAGGTTGTGGTGTTTCGGTGGCCAAGCAACAAGGAGCGCAAAGAAGAATTGTCGGAGGCGACGAAGCCGGGTTCGGCAGCTTTCCATGGCAGGTAAAAAACAACAACCACAACAATATAACATAATATATTATGTTAAGATAATATCATAGCAACAACGATAATAATACCTGTTTAGTGTAAATACAAAACCTAATAATAATATAATATTTATTACATTGTAATATAACAATATAATAAATAATAATAACACCGTGCTACCGCTGGAAGTGTACGGTAATTATTCCACAAGCGCAATATTGCTACAGTCGCGATTCCATAATGATAATACAACGCGATCTTGCTATTCGCCTTATTAAATTAACGATAATTCACCGTGAGTTTTCCCGAATAGAATAAAAAAAATAAAAAAAGTCACCGCCGTCGCGTAAAGCAACAATAACAGAATAATAACAATACACGTATCAGCCAATATTGTATTGTAATGGTATGCATTGATCTACGACCTCTCGTCGTCGTCGCTGAAAACAACGGATATTAATTATAATTAGGGCTAGGATTTATATTATGCAATAAAAAAATAGTTTAGTATGCATTTCGTTTTATTCAAATACACTATAAAAATACATATAATAAATTAGATACGCAAAGAATTTACCAATATTTTCTAATCATAGTATGTGAAAGAATTTGAATTTGAAAATAAATTGAATAAGTAAATTATTTTCGTTACTCTTACTTTTAAATAAATCCAGAACATTTTCAAATTGTTTTCGTCAAAGACAAAATTACCGATTCCTGAAATTGAAATCGTAAGCGTAATTATGGCTTCTAGCCATTTATTACCTAGATATTTTAGTTTAAATTTTCATGTTTATATTTAAAATATTATGCAAAACAAAAAGTAGATGTACTTGAATATGAAGAAATCAGTGATCAAATGTATAAAAAAGAGTTTGTAAAATAAAAAAGAGCATATCAATACATTGAAATCCTAGCCTTATTAATCATAACATATTATGCAATGGTATATTATTTTTTTCTCGAATATTCTTAACCGCGTACAAGTTTCCATAAATGGGAATATTAAGAGGGTAAATAGGTAAGCGCATCTCCGGGGCCCCAGGGTTTACTGTAGTCAGCTTTAAATCGTACCAGGTAAGTAAGTAGTTAGTATATATTGTATTATGTAGTATTTTTAGTTGGTAAAAATTGAATTATTATTATACTTACAATTGTTTTTGAAAAATCAATAACATATGATATGTTATATAAATATATTAACTTATACGAATCTTTCAAGTTATTTTTAATCATTAATTAAAATTAAAATCGTAGTTAATTTCATACTCGCATAGCTCCTGGATGCATTATACTATTTATTTTTATATTCCTCTATAATGCTTAAAATTCTGAATACAATAATTCATATATAGCTATTTTAATTTCGATATTTGTTAATATTTGTTAAAATGTTTTACTTTTATATATCTATTTAAAGTTTTATTACAATGCATTAACAATAGAAAAATATAAATTAAAACATGCGCTGGTAATGTAATAATGTTAAAATCTTTAAACTATACTAGAACTACACTCAACAAGACTAGTTTTTTTTTTAATGATTTGGAGGCGCACCTCAAAAATATTAGTCTCCGTCCACTATACATACCAGTATATGACGTATATATAACCAAACTGGTCTGTATATTTTCACGACCTAAACACCATCGAATGCACAAAGCGTAGCATCGTCGAATGATTTTCATCCGTCTGCACAACGAAAACATCGTAAAATGTATTATTACCATCGAGACACGTGTCATTACCGCAATAATCATTTTCGAACGCGACCACTGTCACTGCAGCTGCCGTTTGATTTCTAAAACACGACGACGATACACCTACCCATATAATTTATTCGACATCATTTTACGCATTTGAAATATTGTGACGTTTATTGTACAATCGCGTCGTATTAAATTATTAATAACATCGATCCGAACGACGGAAGGTGAAACGGATCCGAGCAATCTGCGGTGCCGGTTCAGGTATCGTAACGAGCAAGTCTGTCGGTGTGTGGCCCAATACCCCGCGCAACTTTGTTTAATACAATATATTATCTGTGTACATAATAATATAATTTATGTATAATAACTCGTGTAATTAATAACTATAAATAAAATCGTAAAACAATTATCGAGTACAAATAAAATGGACACGATACTGTAAAAATAGTGTATGTATATTGTATATAATATATGCACCAAAATAATAATGTTCGTTTTTATTTTTTATACACCGACCTTTTAGACGCTTTACAACATAATATAATATACCTATGTCAAATTTGAACTCAATTGTGACCTATGTTTACTGCAAGTAACATACATATTTTATCGTAGCGAATTTTCGTATTTTTAATAAACAATTTTTCATGATATAACTTATAAGTATGCACTTCGGTAGTTTGAAAAGTAACATAATCATTGCACTAAAATATATTTATATTTATAAATTGTTACGTAATTTTTTTCATCAATATATTTTTTTAAATAATTATACTTGCAGTGGCGTTTTGGGATTATTAATCTCACTCTCTCTCAATTTTACCTTAAGAAAAATTTCGATTACACTTGTGTACAATATTAATACATACGTATAAATCAATAATTATTAATGTATAATGTTTATATGATTCTAGGCTTATATTCGCATCGGATCCAGTCGGTGCGGTGGTTCGTTAGTGAACAGGTATCACGTAGTAACAGCCGGACATTGTGTTGCCAGGTAATTCGATTTTTAGTCCTAACGATAATGACTATTGTCATTTCGGTTTCGATCAAAAATCATCAGATATTATATTATATTACATTATAATATGATATAAGCTTATATATTATGTAGTTTTGTTATTTACGTGATTACATTATTATATAGACTTTTGTATAATGTGTAATTATAATATTTTATCAGTGTAATTGTACTTACAGTGCTGTTTAAACACGCATTCCAAAAAAAGATACAGTGATGGTATCATATATTAATGGTTTTTCCAAACATTTGACATAATATAATGATATTATACTCAAAACTTATCAATAGGTGAAATTATTGTAATTTTTTTTTCTTTAAGATATGAAAGTGATTTTTATTCTAAATTTTATTTTATTCTATCACTGAAAATAATTGCAAATTAGTGTGAGATCTTTACTCTGTAGCCATTATGATGACTTAAATCAATTTAACAATACTTACACGTAAACGTTTAAATAGAGCAATCACTGTTCATAAACCTAATATAGTTATAAAAGATTATGTATATGAGCATACGTTCATGCTATGGACTTCAAATGCTACGCGAAAGATTAATTAGGTACGTATTTCGTTTTACTAGAACGAATTTTGTCTAGGTAACTATTTACACGTAAATAAAAATATGTCATTCAACGCAAACATTTCGTAGATTAAAATGAAAATACAATGTCCACAAACGTGATACGGTCGATTTTAACTGCCATTAATAATAATATGATAGGTAGGTTTTTTCAGTTTCATTTTTACATGGAAATTGTATAGTTTCAATTTTCAAAGAAAATTCAAATGTAGATATAATTTAGAAATAATAAACTATCAAAGAGTAATAATATAATGGGATCGAACATTTTTTTTAGTAATTCCTGAACTGGATTTAACAAGCTCTTATCGTAGTTTAATATTTTTGTACCTACATACAAATGTTATGCTTTATATACAAGTACTACGCCAACCAAAATTATATGCTCACCAACATCAAAAATCTATACAGATGAAAAAAATAAATAACGAGATAATTCGTAGAACATTACAAATAGTAATGCACTTTTTGCTCTAAATACCTTTTCATGGAGCAACAGGCTTTGATAAACATGTCAATATTGCTGAGTGCTGAAGCAGCTTCTTGGTAGATTTATTCGAAATATTTTAGAATTATAAATTAGTGATCGAAAACATTGCTGTATTCTTGGCATTGTTGACATACCTACTGTTTACTGGCGTAAACTTGATTTACGAATAAGTACAAAAATCATTCAAGAAACTATCAGCTTTTAGAAATTTTAATTTACAATAATCGTGTTAATCATGTTTTTTTTTAATTCTTATATTATATATTATGTTTTATTCCATGAACATTAATAGCAAAAACTTCCAATTTTTTTATGTCAATTACTGCTATGTGATTAACTGTGTTACTATGTACAGACGATGAAATTCACCAATTTACGAATATATTAACAGTTAATAACTGATCAATAATTATCATGAGAAAAATAATCACAGCCTATTCCCGTTATGTCGATCATCAAATTTATATTATGTACAACTGAGATTTTATAGCTCGTAAAATATCCAATTTAAGATAAGACAATTACATTTTGATTTGCTAATCGTTTTTATCATGAAACGGCAGAGTAAAGTACAGCAATAATTAAGTAATGGTCAAAATTTAATTATACAACGACTTTAAATAATTTATGTTGACACAAACATGTAACTGTTTAATGGTTAACAACTTCTATGTAAAACATGTTCGAACAATCCAACCATAATAATATATCTCTCTCTAGTCTCAGTTAATATTTTGAAAAAATGCATCTTTTATTACGATATACATTTGCTTTAAAATTAATTTTGAAAATTGCTCTAAAACATATAATTTGTCAAAAAATTTAAGTTTACGGACGTAATTTAACAGTATAATATTACAATATTTGATATATATTATAATATTAGATATTTGGTCCCCGGGAGTTTATCATTGGATTAATTTCTTAAAAATAATATGTATAATCTTTATGAATTTATAAATTTTTTTTTTTTTTATGAAAATATGACTAAAATAAATTAAAACATAAATAGTTTAAATAATTCTCGTTTCACAAATTTATACTAACATTTTAGGTCATGAATATTATTTTTTTAAATAATTTAATATACCTCCGTCGTTTAATAATTAAATTCCGTTTAAATGTATTTTCTTTTTTTATAAATTAATTTCTATTGACATATTCCATATTTCGTTCGTTTTTTTTTTTCATCATTGAGATAATGAGACGAAATAGAATATGAAAATCAATGAAATAAAGAATATAAAACTTATTTCTAAACTTTATATTATTTTCTTGCAATAAAATATAAATAAATAAAAATCACGATTCAAAAATCCAAAGAACAAACATTCTACTGTTATCAAAGTGTTATGCTGGAAACCAAACGTCCGATGGCTAATGACTCCTGGAGACTAAATAATATCCGATTCTATTATTTTCTGAATCCTAGATTATCGTTTAGAACACCAGGGAATATAATTACATTGTAACGTTATCCCTATAGCTCTAACTATAATTTTCTATCAATACATATTATGTGTAGACTTTAAAATCGTTTTAACCATATACCTGCCAGCCAAAATAAGACCCATATGACGCAAAAGTGCAAGTGTATTATCTGATCGCTACTAACGTTTAGCAAATCATTTTCGAATTTCCAAGTCGTTTTATCAGACATGCGTTCGTATGACGTACCCGCCGTGGTAAAGCACAACTGTTATATTGCGTCGAAACGTTTGGGAAAGACTAAACTGCAGTAAGCACGTGCAGCCGCCTTATGCATTTTCTTTGTCCTCAGGGCGTCGGCGCGACAGGTGCAGGTGACGCTCGGCGATTATGTCATCAACTCGGCGGTGGAACCGTTGCCGGCGTACACGTTCGGAGTCCGCAAGATCAGCGTACATCCGTTCTTCAAGTTCACGCCGCAAGCCGATCGGTTCGACGTGGCTGTGCTTAGGCTGGACAGACCGGTACAGTACATGCCGCACATAGCACCCATCTGCTTGCCGGACAAGGGCGAAGACTTTTTGGGCCACTACGGATGGGCCGCCGGATGGGGAGCTCTGCAAGCCGGTAAATAAACGTTATACACTCATTACAATGTAATATGATATAATAAAATGTACGACGATGACGATCGTAAAAGTTCGAATGATGACCGACGTTCCTCCCACCAGAAACAGTTTTATATTGATTAGGGATGAGGTAAACTCGAGGTTTTGCAAATATTTTCTAGTGTATCGTTCTAGTGTTTGTTTGATAATCATAGTTTAGAAAGGAGAGGGGAATAGAGTCTAGACACATTTTGTCGAAAGTGATGTTCATATGTCTTTTAAAAGTAAAGCTTTTAAATTTTTAAACTTTTTTATTCACTTTATCTTGATATTACAGAACATGATTGATTTTTTACAATATTAAATGATAACATGATAATCCATCATCAGATTATAAACCTATAAAAAGGTAAGAACTAAAAAATTGGTTGAATTTTTTAATTGAATACTTCCAATGTTTTTATTACCGTAATAGGCGAAACGGGTAGAACATTAAAACTATTGACAATACAACATAATTAAATCGTTTAAAAATATTTGTGAACCGTTCAAAAATTGCAAACTTTATTGACAGACTAGGAAATCGTTTGAGTGTGATAATCTCCCATAGTATGCTTCCTTCAAATCACCACCTCCAAAGCATACGTCGCTGACGTTTTTCGACGCCAAACAGACCAACCACATTTTCCCGTTAACGCAATCACATTGAAGAGTCTATCCACTGGCCATACAATAACAATATTAATATACTTACTATAATACGGTTTACTACACCAAGTAAACGCGTATTTTATATTAGTTCGAGATCGAGAAATCATTTTTTTTTAACTCGTCAGTTATACTACATTATACGTATCTATTTATAACGCTGCGTCATCTGTAAATTTATCATTTACGGTGGTATTTCAATACGCTTATAAACATGTTATTTAAATATGCGTTTCAAATCGTGGTTCAATAATACACAACGTTTAGTCGCCGAACCGACTTTTCCAATAAATCACATTCCTGCTACGTACAATATAATATATAGTATACCTACGCGTATAACAATAATATCGCATCGCCCATATTATCCGTTTGCTTGACGGATGGTCTACCGTCTCACAGAGTAGTTCCGGTGGGAGAGACTGGAGAGAGAGTGTATACGGTGAGACTATAGGGATATTATTATTCGTAACTCGTAAGTCGAACGGAAAGCGGAGATTTTTTTTATTACTATTTAGACGTGGGTGACGCCCTCTGGCCCCCACGTATAGGTACTACAGCTGCCAGTTATTATATATGCATAAAATGAGGTTCATAATGCAGCTCGAGTTGATCATAGTTCAACTAAATTAGAACTTGAGGACTGAGCCCTTGAAGTTTTTACAGCACCCCAATATATAGAGGATAATATGTCACACTAAAATTTTCTCCGAAAAATCAAAATATTAGTTAAGGATGAGTATATATTGCAAGACTGTTTTTAAAATTTGACTATTCTTTGTCATTTATGTGGTAAAAATATCAAAAAAAATGTATAATAAAATTAATTTTAAACTGTTAATTAAAAAAAAATGTACATGTAAATATTGATGAAAATTTATTAATAGCCACTTAAAAATATACAAACTTAATAACAATTTGAAGTCTCTTGAAAAAAATGTTTGAACATTAGTATAGGCTTTATGTTTTTTTACTTCACAAGCAGAGGTTTTGCAACGATGATTCCAATATTGTTTATTTAAAATAATTTTTTTATTTCCTATAGTTGATAGATGTTTATTAGTTAGTGTCCAAACATTTGGGGACGTACGTTCGCCCGCAAATACTGCCACTGATCCGTGTTCGTGTAACACGTGTACACATATAAAAGCCCCCACGACCACTTTAGTCTGTTCTTTACGACCGGTTTTTTTACATTTTTTTACCATAATTATTAATATTATACACCATTGTCTGCATTGCCGACGCGTCACTTAATTTTCTTCGTTGTCTCCGGACAAGGACGACATTACTAGTAATTGAAACTAGTCAGTCTCATCACACAGTAAAAATAACTCTTCACCTAATATATTATTATATTTCGTATAATATATACCTTATTACCTACGTCATGTAAGTCTATATGATGCAATCGTTTGCACCTCGGAGGAGGTTATCATAAAAATTATATTTGTATATTCATTAGACGTATTCACCCGGGAGCTAAATTCTAACGAGTCTTTTTTTTATTAACTGGTATCTACTGATTGTTTTTTTTCAGTCTGAGGTCAAAAAACGAAAGTAAAAATACAAGTCGTTAAACGAAATTAAAGGGTAATTTTAAATTTATGCTCCGATTTTGGAAATAATAATTAATTGCAATATGAATCAAACTCGAACTAATTTAAAATTGTCAAAATATCTAAGCGTACCTATAGATATTATTTTATATTTTATGTTTATATCATAAGTTTGTTATCAATTATAATTTTTTTTTAATCTAATTTTTGATGTGGTTTTATTTTAATTTACAAAACACATTTTGAAAGATTCTAGTGTAATATTAATAGTTTTAGTCTAATATAATTATAATTCAGACTGCTTCTATAAAAACTGATAATAAATCAGCCTCGGTTAGTTTTGTGATCTCTAAAACTACTATTTATTTATTTATTTTTTTAATAATAATTCTCAAAGTGAGTGATGATACAATTATATTATTATTTAGTAGAGTATTTTTCATAAATAGTTTTTATTCATATTTACTCGTAAATATTATAATACAGTTGACTCAAATCAATTAAAATTTTTGGAGACGAATATAAATGTCTTTATGAGAATGAGAGACAAAAAAAATGTTTGTGTGATCGAGAAGGGAGAAAAATCGGTAAACATTATTCACCGATATACCGTTCGTGTAGTATCATCCGTATTTGAATTACTGTGTAAAATTATAAGCCTAGTGATCTATAAAATTGCGGAACCACGGTAATCCTAGCTGTATGTTACACATTTAATTAAGTTTATGCGTTTCAACAACCATAGAAAAAACAGATGTACCTACGGCTAGGTATACATATGTATCGTGCTACGACCTCAATAACGGTTATGCGAACGATGCAATAATCTGTTGTCCTTTTGTTACGGTTTCTATGTTATATTGGTGAACAGGAGATGACAACTCGCGTTAACTAAAATATTCGTATTATTATTGGGCACGTTCCGGGGCACTCGTACAATGCCATCAGAAAACATTACGCTAATTATACAGCTTATGGTATAATTGTTTATATAACGTCATAACAATAATAATTATATTAACCAATGTTATACCGTTAACGACCGATGTCCGTTGTAATGGATAGGCTAAAGGTGCGCGAAAATCGATTGTATCACAATAAATTCACTACGAGACCATATCGTGAGGAGTATAAAATATATACAAATTTTTGTGTACAGTTTGATTGGTGTCAAAAAAAAACATTCGTCACTGATGTTACATTGTCAATACAAATTATTGGTCAGTTAAAATTGGAAAAAAAGTAATAGAGAACCTACAGTAGACGTCTGTCCGGAAAGTATTATAACGGATGTCGCACTAATAATTAAAATTACACAGAGTGTAAACAATTGTGAATTCAACCTAAACGGAACAGACATATAAAAATATAAAATACCCGCTCTACGAAGAATGGGATGGAAAAAAACGACCAACTACTAATTCCGTACAGTAACATTCAATCATTCGGTCAGAGCAATTTTGAGAAATTAGATTTAATTAAATTATTGGTTTAACGTTGTCTTTTGAAAATTTCGAAAACCAACAGCTGTATAAAATTAAATTATACATAGGTATAATGACACAATAAATGTTGGTTTGATTCTAAAATAATAATAAATAATAAATATCAAGAGCAGTATAAATGTATAAAAATATAAAAATCTCTAAAATTGATTATGTATTGAAAACAATTAGGTCCGAAAATGTTTATTATAATTATATTTGAATAATAAATTGCATGCCAAATACCTTGTAATAAAAAATAACACTGGGTACCTAATGAAAATTATATTTCTCACTAATTTTGCAATAGTAGTTATTTTCAAAATTATAATTGAATTACTAAAATCGATAAAATATCAAAAGTTCCGGTATTTATTGTAAATAATAATTTTCCAGCATATAAATTATTTACAATTATGTATTTTTCATGTATGACCAATACTCACCCAATCGAACTAAAAAACATCTTCTTGCTACGCGAAAATTGAAAAATATTTATTGTTATTCAATGTACGCAATATACTCAAGGATTTTTCTTGATTTTAAACGAATAGGATGTTTTTTCATAAGTAATTTTGTATAGAAAGTATACTATAAAGTACCTAGCAGTTCAAATTGTTATACATTTTATTTGAAAAATTTCCTATAGATTTGTTCTTTTTAATAAAATATAATAGAAATTTCGTGATAATATATATAAGTAACAACATTCGCATTTAGTAAGCGATTTGAAAATTAAGTTTTGTACAATATTTAATTATCGTTTAAAATACGGTCGAACGTGCACAGATTTAATATTAATAGAGTAGCGTGCGATTTATTTTTAAACCTCGGGTGATGATAATCGTGCAGACTACTAACTATACAATAATAAAAATTACAAACAAAGGTAGTGAGATTATGGGGTAGAAGAAGATAAGTATAGAGAAGAAAAGAACGACAGAGACCATTATAAATTCTAACGAAGAATCTGAAAGTTAGATACAAGCAATACCAAATATTATTCAGGCTCATTCGCTAAACAAGGTTAACTACATCTTTTAATAAATAATTTCTTAAATTCTGGTTTATTGAATTTTTACGTACACTTAAAAATTAAATGTCATATTTTAAGATTTTTTTTATATTAAAAAGTGTTTTATGGTGATCCAAAATTGTTTTCAAACGATAACCACCGTTTTACTGCAAGCTTTTAAGCAAAAGATTTTTACAAATTTCAGTTTATCTAAATAGAAATTTAAGAGAGTAGTTTTTAAATTACTTAACTTTATATACTAAGGATAGGGCTTTATAGATAATAGGTCCATGATAAATTAAGGAATATTGATGGAGCTAAGATAGTATGAAAATTTTAATAACTTATATTTATCTATTAATATTTTATAATTGGTAAAAATTTTCCTAAGTATAATACGAACTAGATTACAAAATTAAATTAATTTAAAATTATTTTTAAAGATGACTAAGACTTAAAAATAGTATATAATTACGTAATTTAATAACTATTCGAAACTACTCTCTAAAAGTTGATTTAGATACGTATCAGCATTTAAAAAATAATCATCTAGGTAGGTACTTCATAATTTTCAATAAAAAAGAATAGTAATCGTTTGAAAAAAATAAGCTTGTATCATTACTAGATATTTCTTGAATAGTATAAAAAGATCTTAAGATTTTAAAATATGACACTAAAGTAGATATGTTTTAAAATTAAAAAAAATACTAATTACAGAATTTAAATAAATTATGCATTAAATGGAAAAAAATATTGTAGAACTTTGTATAATATAATATCAGTATAATAATATAACGATGCAGGTATTAAACGATAGTATCTGTCGGCAAATAAAATGAAAACATCAGTCGGCCGTTTTATCCCGTTTCGTGCCAATGTTGGAACTCGTTTAATAATGATAAAAAGTAAGCAAGACAGCAACGACGTATCGACGACCAGCAGAACTAGGTACAATACGGTTTAGTCGTATAGGTACCAAACAACTGTAATAATAATAATGATACAAGAAAACTACGCGTTCGCGTGCTCACCCGCTTTCGAATCTCGTCCGAAGACAGTGACGGGTAAACGAATTCACAATGATATTGATAACATTTCGGTTGACAGCTTCCTCCACGTTATAGAGCGGCGTGTACACTGCAGTTATCGTCCGCGCCAAAGTCGTACGTCGTTATGTTAATAATATTATTATTATTATTATTATTATCATTATCATCGTAGTGGTTGTCGCTCGAGGATCACGGATTGAAATCTTTACGATAATATTATGTTTAGTCGGCGCTCAGTCGACAATACAATAATAAAATATTGTTATTAATGACGTACAGTGTTAGAATGACGGCGCACGCGAGCGCGTTTCAACGATCGAACCAACGTATATTATACGCTTTAACATGTATATAATTTATTATCGTGCACGCAAAAAATTTAAGGTATGCAAAACAAAAAAAAAAAAAAAAATACAACTTATCTATTTTTACTTATTAGTCATATCGTAATAGTTATTCTCTACTATATAAACGTACAGTTCTTTTTATTATTGAAAACAACTATGACACAGTATTAATGAAATGTAATGAAAAGCTGATTGGACAAAAACGATACATCGTTGTGGTGTACCTATTACCGGGGGATAACAAAAACATGGATTTGTACCTATCTTCAATAATTGTGCACGAAGCAATGAAAGCGTATTTTTTTTAGAAAATACAAATAAATTAAGAAGTATGCACTTTTTCCTAGATGCATAATAACTATCGTTTTAAATCTCGTTACTGTATCTATAGAAATATACAATGTTCATAATTATTGATTTCTAACTCGATCTGTTATTATATACATATATGTATACTGTATATATATTATATTGAGAATGCATTGAACAATTTACAACTCCTACAACATCTGTGCTCTAATATTATTATTATTATTTTACGATTTCGATGTGGGAGACAGATCGTTGAAATCACTGCGTTTCATGGTGAAAGTTCGAAAGATTATACCCTTCGACCTTCGTTGAATTTATTATACAAATTACATCTTCAAAACGACGTGTAAGTAATGAACAAAAAAAAAAGAAATAATAATTAACGTCAATTTGGGTTTTGATTGTGAAGCATTAAAGCTGTACGTTTTCGCAGCATCAGAAGATCAATTAAGAAATATAAAATAAAATAATTTCGTTGAAATCGAAAAATTGGACCTACCGCAGTAGTACTGATGCGGTAACCACCTGCATACTCAAAAATATCACCGTAGCAGTTTTATTTATAAAATCTTCGATTATTATACTGAAGTCCGAGCAGACGAAATGTTGACAACTAGGACAGTTCAAACTAGTGAACAATTATTTAAACGCCATCCATTTTAATATTATAATCAGCACAGTGTCGTATTCGCATATCCAGCGGTATTAACGCGCATTTTACGTGTTGTAAGTTCATAATATATTAATATAATAATAATAATAATATCGCAACGGAGATTATGTAGGACCGGCATTTGGTCGGCGGACGGGTGCGTGTTCAGACTCCGGATCGCCGAGAACATACCTATATACTTACATAGAATAATACCAGTTGATAATATTGCGATAAATCGTTATTATGCTCTTATGTGTATAATTTATGCAAACTTTATTATGTACATTCTTGTCGCAGCTATTATTATAACGTATATCGGGTCTGCGTGGGCGACGACGGACGATGCGTGCGCATCATCGTAATCTAGCGATTTCGCCGCGAACGCGCGTTGTAGGACTGGTAAAAATACGCACACACATAAACACGCACGCTAAACAATAAAGGAAATGTGTCCGCCACGCGTGTCACGAGCAAGGAAACGAGTTTCTAAAAAAGTCTTTGTGTGCGATGCCGTCTCTATCAGACACACCACAGTTGTCGCTACCGCCGCAGCAGTGGCGTCTCTCGCCCGCACGTCTCGCGGGCTAGGTGAATCTTTTCGGTTATTGTCGGTCGAAATCCGTTTGGTCTTTACCCGCTCGTGAAGACAAAATTAATTTACGAAAAACGCGACGAGGTAAAAGGTTCCCGACACGTTGATGGATTTATCGGTAGAAATAGGTAGACTATTAAATATTACACGTAACGCTAAAAAAGGAACACACATGGTATATAATAGAACTGTCGACCGAGAGCACGTACAATAGTTGAAATGGTTTGTTTTGTATTTCACGAAAACCTTAACTAGCCAATTACACGTATAGATACTAGAAAATAAGTTGAATTATTCAAGTATACGGGGACTCTTGTCACACGACCTCAAACATCCGATAACGGAGAAAATCACGATATATGTACTTATAAAGTTATTGAAACGGTGACAAAAAAAAATTGCATATCCCTGTATCCCTATTCTTCGATGCTACAGAAAACTATTTTTACCATTGGCCTTTATGCCCCTCCCTCAATTCGTTTATATTCGTTACATACAATTATTTCTTCGTATAAAAGGACCCCGGTGTTTCTTATTTGTGAAGTCTTTACGGACACGATGATTTTTAAAATATGTTAGGATACCTTCTCCTAATACTTAACGGTCTCGATCCTTATCGGTATCACGAGTCCTCTATATTATGGCGTGTCTGTACTACCTCGTGATGCCCGAACGATCGCATCCGGAAACGGATTGCACGCCGGTTGGCATTTTAAATGTAAAATGTTTTAAAATATTATTGTTTATCGATAGTACAGTGTTCTGTTGTTGTTTTGCGTGTTTTTCGCTACACAGGTTCTAGACTGAGGCCGAAGACGCTGCAGGCTGTCGACGTTCCGATCATCGACAACAGACAGTGCGAGAGGTGGCACAAGTCCAACGGCATAAACGTTATAATTTACGACGAGATGATGTGCGCCGGTTACCGGGAAGGATCGAAGGATTCGTGCCAAGTAAGTAAAACGCAACCGGATTCAGATTTTACGCCAACGGGTTTTTCTCTCATCTCTTCTAAATTATCGTTTTGTATAGCCTTCGACTGCACTGGTTCAAATAACATAATAATATAATTACCTATATTAATTCCAAATTGTCCTCCGGATGAGCATTAAAAGGAATTATTGTACCAACCCGACTTAACGCTTTCTTCATGCCGGAATATAATTTCGTGTAAAACAATAACAAATTGTCTTTCAATTTTTCCAAATCCACAATCACAATGATGAAATAATTGATATTTATTAAATTATTATTATCATTATTATTATTATTTGAGCAATTAAAAGTCGATTAAATTCTATGAAAAAATAAATTAACTCAATAATTGGCGATAATATAACATTATCACATTGACTTATGATTTGACGCACAACTCATTGCGCATAACTGTTATGAAAGCTAACGTCACGTATGATATATCTACTCGACGAATGTCGAGATCTTTCCGGATGGGTGACTAACGCATTCGGCGATTTTAACGAAGCGGCTTTCTTCCGACACGCTCAATGGAAGTCGTACGTTAAAAATTTTCTTTGAAGAAAATCAGGAAAATAATAATAATAATGTGATACAACATTTAACGTTAGGAAAAATAACGAACACAAACCGTGAAAAAAAGATAATATCCACAACAATAATATCTAATGTTACAATAATAATATACGTACGTATATATTATATTATTGTAACATGCTAACGTTCTTACGCCAATCATACATTTTTCAAGGGTGGTTAATTAATTTAATAATATATATTTCTATTTTGAATATTTATAATTTTGTTTGAAATAACTGCTTGTTATAAATATTCAACTATTATTAAACAGGAGGTTTTCAAACCGAAATACCCCTTAATTATTGTATACACCAGTGGTAAGAATGTATACAACTTTTTATAATTATTATGATTTCTTAAGTTTTTACTTTTTTGAATGAAAACATAAATTTTTTAATTCATATTCCTCACCAAAATATTTTTTTAGAAGTATTTCGATAAATAAAAACAAGAATTTAAAAAAGAAGAAGTAAAGTGATATACTTACCAGCTCTATTCTTCCGGTCCACTACTCCGCCCGTCTAAGTTTTAAATGCTTATAGTTCATATTTAATTAACTCAAAAAATTAGTTTTTAGTGCAAATTTCCTGTTAAAAATATTCAGCTTAGGAATGTAAAATCAAAAATAAGTACCGTGGTCCAAAATAAGTGAAAATTTAATAAAAAAAATAATTGTTTCGCATTGATATCAATTAAAATAATGTTTGTTATAATGAGTGTACACCTTTAAATGAATCACCTCGTAGATCTTTTAGTGGTAGACGCCACGATAATAACAATATACCAACCTACATAATATATGATACGATAGGTAACCAGCTACATCTATCAGTATCTATATTATCTGCCTATAGCCCGGAAACTTATCCGGTACGCGGAACATAATATCTTCCGGTCCCGTGCAATAGTCGAATCCGTTGACTTACATTTTCGTTTTCAATTTTCACAGGGTGATTCGGGTGGACCACTGATGTTAGAGAAGACGGGCAGATGGTACTTGATCGGGATCGTGTCGGCAGGTTACTCGTGTGCGCAGCGCGGGCAACCCGGCATATATCACAGGGTGGCGTTGACAGTCGACTGGATTTCCTATATAATCAATTCGTCGCAACAATAGTGATTTAGCAATTTACTATGTTTACCATACCTACACCGTGTGCTGTGCGCAAGTCTCCGACGGACCGATGAAGACATTGTATATAATAATATTTTAATATTATATACGGTGCAGTGTACCGATTTTCCGATATCCAAACTATTCATATTTATAACGTTAATAATTTATAATACATAAAGCATGATATATAAACACATTGTGTGCGACGTACGCGTTTAGGTGCGTTCGTATATAATATAATAATATATTATATATATTATGCATATCATATTATTTTATTTTATTTTACACTATTTATAGATATTTAAGTTATTTTATTTTATTGGTATATTTTTAATAATGAACCGTCGTACTCGCCTGTACGCGATGCGCGTAATATACCAGCTTGTCGCGGTGATATATTTTTATTTTTTTTTTTTTTTAAATTATTTTAATATTTTTATTATTATTATTATCATTATTATTATTGGCTGCAATGGTACAATCGTTAGCGACCAAATCTTGCATTTGATCACTTACAAAGCACTACGCCACCCTCAACTGAGACCACCGCGCATCGCCACCGTACAGGTCTCGATGAATTATTATTATTATTATAATATTGTATATATATAAAAACGTGTACAGTAATGAAGAATTTTATGTGTATAAACTCACAATGTGGCTGTAATATTAGTGTAATTAATTTAATAACAATAATAGAAATATAAGAAAACACAAAAACCAAAAACCGTATTGTTTTCTTGCATTCTTAATCGGTAATGCAGTGTAATATTATGCCCATGCAATTTATCTTTCGAAACTTCTACCTCGTCCTTCCTTGGCTCTTCGTCAATCTCTACCTTTCTCTCACAGTATAGGTTTCTCATCTCTTTTCTACAGACCGCGACGGATGACGACAACATAATCGCATTGCTACTGCTAAAAAAAAAACATATTACCAAAAAATAAATAAACAGTATACGGGGTATATGATATGTGAGTAGTGCTGTATATAATGCTACAAATAATATACAATGACAATCGCGCGAAATACCAAAACGACGACGATGAAACATGGTTTCACGAATTCATTTAGTGACGAGCACCTAGAAATGCTCCTCGAGAAACGTTTCTGGGAAACAAATAATATTTTCCTTACCCCTTGGGAATACTCTTTGAAGAAAAGAAATCAATTTATACATTGTATAATACGACAATACCTACTGAAAAAACATCATTTTATTTAGCACAAATTTAAAATCAAATCATTGCGCTAACGGCAGACATGTTTTAAGTAGGTATATAAATAACTTAAATTTGACTTAAATACTTCATATGTTTTTAAAACTACTAAAAGTTTTCAAATTTTTGTATAATATTTTTACGCGTAAAATATTAGTCATTTGAAAAATGCATGACGATAATAAGTCAAACCAAATATTGAAATATATATTTTTTACAATATAATATGTTCAACGATCATAATTTGTTCAGTGAATTCTTGGTATTCTATTGAATTTTCACATCACAATAAGTCATATAAAATGAAACAAGCTGTAGATGACTGATTTTTTTGATAAATTAAAATTTCTAGGCTTAGAAAAAGAGTCCTTCAACTATCATAATATTATATAATATTATATACACATTAATATGTACGAATATGTGTTAACCATAATAATATTATTATAATTATACACGTGCGAACACCTCTGGACCAGCAGAGCTCACGTGAAAGGTGTTTTATTATCATTGTTTATTTTGTACATGTTCAATGAATGCGAGCGACTTGGAAATGTTTTGTGTGCGACTATCCGAGCACAATTAAACCCGTCCGATTGTCTAATTGGATATCAGAGAAAGTGAATCGTTTTTCTCCTTCTTTTCCACCGTTTTCCCGAACGTGGCGATTACGACGTCCCAGCGACGTCCAAGACCGAGTGGGGAATGACGCTACACGCACAATAATATACGGTAAAATAATATAATATTATATTATATTATTGTGTAGCATAAGACTCACAATTATTGTTGAAGAAACTTTTCATACCTGTCCGTGATGTATTTTTTCACCCACGCTCACATTGTTCTTGATTCGATAACGTGTGATTATTTTTTTTAACCGTTTGGTAAACAATTCGTTTAGATGTACAAATTCGAAATAACGAGTGAAATATCGCATGCGAAAGATTAATTGTTTTATAAATATATAAATGAAGAATAGTGTAAAGTAAAACAGCAAGGGTACTGAGATCGAGTGTGATAAAAATAACGACATACTAAAATCGTGCATTTAAAAGGCAATAGTGTGCCGTACATGCACAGGTGTGGTTTAGTTAAATGTTTAAATTTTCAATTATGGACGAAAGACAAAAATAGTAGATACGAAAGACATGTCATTATTTTTTTTTACCTATACATTTATATTCATAATATTTATAATATAAAATTTTAATGATTCAATAAATTTAGTCTGAATATTTAATGTAAAATTGTAAGCATAATATTATCTACATGAATGATTATGATTTTTGATACGATATAAGAAAAAAAGAACTGACAAGTAAAACAATTTTGATACAACTATAGATGACTGTAGAACGACTATTTGATCAGATAAATATGCCAAAATTCATTAATTATTGCTACGCAAAATAATAGAGAATATTATTATTCAATAAAAGTAATAAATTTTATTTGAAACGCTTTTTAAATTTTAAAAATATACACACTTATAATATTGAATTACTATACTCATTACCTATAACGACTGTCTATAGAACAGTTTTTGTTATTCACTTATTCAGTCTATAATTAATAGGTAGATATTAAGTAATTTTTTAACCTATATAATTTGTGGAATTTTATTTGTCATTTAAACTTCGTGTTAAATATTACAATAAGCTAAATTTATATAAATACATAATTACTTTATACGTACCTATAGTACCTTTATATTAAATTAACAATATTAACATTATTATTTCTTCAAAGAAATCATTTGTAAATGTATGAGCGTATATTTGTCATTTAAATATATTCTAATTTGTAAAGGTGAGTTCTATTTGATCATTTAATTTTGTAAGTTGGCTAAAGAAACATACGTTGTATTTTAATTTTAATAATTTTTTGTTTTATGGTTTTATAGTAACATAAATTAACAACAGCAAATTAATACACTTTATTCAATAATAAACCGTATATAAGCTAACATAATCTTAGTGACTTCAGACTTGTTACAACAAAAATATCGAAAGAATAATTTGGTTTTAGTTTTTAGTTGATTATAACTTACTACATCTTAATATATTAACATATTTTTTAGGTGCAAATCTTTAGAATTAAAAACGTTGTTAGATCATTTATTAATAATTAATAACTTAAAACGATTACAAAATAGACACTATTAATAATATTTATCTTATTTCATCTTCAATATTCTTCATAGTTGTGCTATCATAACACGAACTATCACAAAATCGCCAATAACTGATAATTTTGATAATTTATTATCGTTTATTATATTTTCATATCTCTATAGTAGTGTATAATATATAAAAATGAATGTTCTTTTTTTCCTCAACAAACTCAAAAGCTACTGAACTGTTTTCAATAAAATATATGTCAATATATTTTTAAAAACTCTGGAAGAGTTTATTGCTTCGTTTTCAACCCATATAGGTCTACACGTAAATTATTTTTGGCTCATAAAAATCGAATATTTTTCTGTTGATTTATTGATTTATACAGAATTGCCATTGATTACAATTATAAAATAGTTTTAATGATTAAATATAATTATCTGTATTACATTATACTTTTTAGTTATTAGGTTAATAAAACTATTCTGTATAAATATAAATGAGCTATTACATATTACTGTATTATTAGTGACAAAATAGAGATTGAGGCTTGCATACAAAAAAAAAAAAGAAAATAGTAAAAAAGTCAAACGGTTTTGACAAAAAAAAAATTATTGAAGCAAAACAGAAAAATGGATAAATATATTTATATTACAATAGATAGTCGGCTAATTTTATTCAAGTACCAAATTTGGCACACATAATAATTAGAATCCGGATGGATCGTATAAGATTATAAAAATAGAAATCAAGTGTAGTAGCTATTAGGTATATTATGATATGAATGCAAAGATTTTTGAGTGAGGCTTGTATAATCAAAAAGTACTCTACCGATTTTAAAGATTCAAAGAAGGTTTAAATAAGTTATTAAGCTAATTATTTTAAATTTTTTGCCCACTATTTTAAGTACTATTTATTCGTTTATTTCTGCAAGCTATTATTGATTCACGTAAGATAAAAATGTTACTTATTAATATATGCCGTAAGTGAATTGTTCATCTCTGTTTCGTTTATCCCCGAGCATTTCCGAGTAATACTATTAGTTATATATATACTTAGTAAATTATTTTTTACAGTCCGGAGATTCCCCTCCCCCATTGGTTGCGCTACTAACCTCGAGGTTCTTCGACATTAGGTTAAACGTCGAAGAAGTAAAAAATGAAATTAATTAAAACGGCAGACCAAAAACTATGACAGTACAGAAATATGTATAATATATTATAAAAATATTACTATTCGGTGAAAGTCACGTGCCGTTGCCGCACAGCTTTGATACTCTGCTAATCAGATTCGAAAACTGTTCCTTCCTCCCAAAGTCATTTTGTCAAATCGTTTTGTACTCTTTCATTTTGAACGCATTTTGCAAATAGTTCTGCTTTTAAAACCTATACGACTACGGCGACGAAGAAAGTGAACTGCCCATTTGTCCGCCGCCCACTGCCGCCGTTTCTTATAATATCAGCTACGTTAGACGCATTCCCAAACGACGTTTCTTTGCTTGGTGAAAAAAATGTAATAATGACTAAATAATGAGGTGGACTCTGGTGGAGTGATAATTTTCAGATGAAAATATTATCATTTTCATCTTTTGTGACCCAGTTCCTTGCCGACAACTCAGACTATTTGTCGCCGTAATTATTCGAATTCTGTTTTAAATTAACAAGTCACTACGAACAGAAAAATAAAAACAATAAATGCATGTAATTTTTACATAGATATTGGGAAATGAAAAACAACCCATTACGAAATGATAGATACTATTATTGTAATAAAACAATGAAATAAACTATCAAATTATAATTTCACTTTGGACCCAGTTTATGACCTGTAAGTAAGTAATTACTCATTTATTATTCTTCTGAAATTCTACTACACGAAAATTATCACTACGATCATAATTTCTATCGATAACATTTCACTTAATAATATAAAATCTTATTAATTAAATGGGACATTCTCCAAGAGAAAATTAATATACAAATTATCATAAAATAATCATATAATGTGTGTAAATAATAATTAATTACTTAAAATACAACTGGCATCAAATAAATTACAAAAAACAATATACATTAATTTACAATATTTTTATCTACCTACATAAACCATAAACCTTTTATATACTAAATTTTTTAATGGGAATTACAGTTCAACTCAAAATATACCTTAATAAAACACCATATTCACATAACCTGACCCTATTTCATGAGTACAACAAAGTTATATTGTATTCAAAAATTTCTATTTAGTGTAATAAATAATAATCTTTAAAAATAGAGAAGATTAACCTATTATAAAATTTGAAGGTAAAAACATTATCTGTTCTGTGCTTTGTCATGGTTTTTCACATTATTTTAATTTTTGAGTAAGTTACAAGCATTTTCAA